TTGTCAATGTTCCCGGCCACGTAGGAACAGAATTATTTACTGCTGTCTACACAAGCAGCCCATGTTAATTTTATCTTTTCGAAAAATCGGCAAAACTCCAAGACGGACAAAAATCGCGTGAGGTTTTAAACGTTTTTGGTTCCTCAGGCCCAAAGGCATCGATTGGCTTATCTCCCTATAAGCGATTTTTGTCCGTCTTCTTGATAAATGAGTTTTTCAATACATTTCAAATTTCGGATTTTTTCGAATTTTGGAATTTTTGAAAACTTTTTCTATCAAAGAATAAAAAATGAATAACATCCGTAAATGTAACCTACCCCGTTGAATCTACACTTTCGCGACGAAACCATTATGAATGCATTTCCAAATTTTGTTTCAACTGCTGTTTCTTTGCGGGGAAATTTAATTTTCAAATTTTGATTTTTATGATATGTTTTATTTTATATTATGCATCTATTATAAGATTGTGGACAAGATATCACATGTGCGTGCGACGAAGATCGTGTGGGTTCAGATGGAATGAGCCTCCATTCGTATGTGAATTAGTCGTTATAAATATAATTATTAACTGTTTATGTAATCCTAGTGATCTTTAACCTATATTTAACCTCTAATTAAATTCTGATATCTTAACTTCTGTAATGTCCACTCCACGGGAGGAAACAGCAACATCAAAATTAAATCCATTTGAATTTTCAGAAATTTTGGAGGTAGTTTTGTCCGTCAGGAAATTGGACATGAGGTATATAGAATCCCAGCAGATTTTGAATCCTGGTTTATCACGGGAATCTAAATATTTATTTTGCACCAATGTTAACACAGAGCTGGGAAAAATTGCATAAACACAAAGAAAAACTGCACTGTTTTATTTTACCTCGCCATTTGCAAACTCAACCAATAAAATCAGAATCAGTCCAAAATCTCTGATGGTCACATATTTCATCGTGCCTGGAATGGAAATTGTCTTCGTTTTCTAGGGATATAGATATGTACAAATTTGATGGGTGTATAATTTTATCTCGCTTATTTTTGACATTTTTTATACCTCCATTTTTTCTTCATTTGTGAAAATCTTCACAAATTATTAATGGTCTACTGGTAAATGAATTTCTTCCACTGAACGCTTGCATCACGCACGGCCCCTAAACAGCAACAATTCTACGAAAAATTGGCAAATAAGAACATTTTAAATTTATTTACTCATCGTAAGGTTACTTCCTGAGTTTATTTAGGGTCGCGTCAACTTTCCTAATTCTCAAAACCTCCATTTTTATATACTATAAATAAATACAAAAGTTGCCTTAATCCTAAAAAATATGTAGCTAAATATGTATGTATTTTTTTCCTCAAAGAAATCAAAACGATTAAGAAAATATGAAATTTTTATAAATTTCATTTCGTGAGACGCTACATACATTTCCTTACATCTTTGCCGCTAGGAATTTATTTTCCAAAATTATAAGTTCACTGTCCTACAACATCATGTTTTATCAATTGAATGGCAAACAAATTTAGTGGAAAAGCAGGAAAAATTATTTATACTTTAGTCGCAAATACTTCAAATGTTATCAGCGACTCATTATCAAACTTGCGTATAAAAAATTTAGTACGAAAGAGATATCAAAAATAATTTACGTACTGTACTTACTTTACATAATTGTAAGCAAAATTCATACATAAATACATATGTTCGTAAAGTGGAAAAATACTTACTGCAAATTTTCTCCTCCACGTCACCTCATTGTCACCATATTGCGTGACACAATAGCATGGACACGTCACCCTCAATCCGAACCAGGTTTGCAAAATGGAAAAACGGACTCTCCAGCGACAAAGTTTGTGAAGAAAAAACGATTTCGACACTTGTTTTTTTTTAATTTGATAACTTGTATCCATGAATTAAGCAAAATATGGAAATTTTTACTTCAAAAAAATTTTCATAATGAAAAAAATTTATCCTATATTTTACCCTGCAAGTTTTCCAAGCTGTCTTAAAATAAGCGTATACAAAATTTGACCTGGATTCAATCCACGAAATACTTTACGATTTGTTTAACAAACGATAATAAAAATCATAACAAGGAAGCGGAGCATGAAAAAAAGGGGGAGACTTTGCATAAAGTATGTGCAGAATTTTGGTCCCGTGCATAATACGATTCAACTACTTATTTGAGTACTTATGTACATACATACGTAAAGTCGGCAATATAATCCGCTCCAAAAATTGATGACATTAATTTTTGCGTACATGCAGAATCTGCAAAATTTTTGCATAGCCCCCCATCAACCATTTTCAAGGTACGTATGTATGTACAAGCCAAATTACGCTGTTGTATCTGCGATAATATTGAGAAATCGAATAATTTTTGGCTGTAAATCTTCTAAATTGGATCAAATGTCACTGAAAATATTTTTTTTTATCGTTTAGGATTATTATTGTACTTTTAGGATTTGACAATATCCCAAATTTGGAGGGAAATAGTTGCATTTTTATCATACTTATTAATTAGCTCTGTAAATATTCCAGAAAAATTAATTTTATTATGTAACATTCCGGGATCGTGTGGTTATTTAGCTTGCAAATATTCCATTCTGAATCTGCATATATTTATGTATGTATGTATAATATGAGTATGAGTCACACAACAAGCCATTAATTTACTAAGAATTCCACTTATGATTTATAAAGATTGAGACTGCCCATATCTCAAACGATTATTGATCCAGATTTAAGCAAAAGTGTCGTCAAGAGAGGATGGAGAGATTCACAAGAAGGAAAGATGATATCATCTATTTATCTGTTCCGTGTTGCATAAGGTATTCATTCTTAAACCAGGTCTTGACCAGCTCTAAATACAAACAAATGAGTCACACTTTAAAGGCGTAAAACCTGCAATAAAAGCTGAGGCTATTAATATGTACATACATATATATATGTTTTCTGAAAGGTGCGTATTTATGTATATAATCTAAATCGGTATTTGTTTCTTACAAGTGTAAGTGTCAATGCATAATTTGTAATGCGATAGACACAACTTCTGAATATTCAAAAGTTGTATATTTATCCAGCCAGGTGAGGAGCCGTACATAAAGCGTGTCATGTACATATTTTGCCCCTACTTATCTGGTGCGACCTATACATATCCCTACTAACTTGCGAAGGATAAGATGCCTTGACACCTACCTATTCCGCTCAAATCGGTGAAATTCTTTCTGTACAGTCCCTTGCGGTATGATAACTTGGTCACGATTGCATAGACGTACATATTTACATATGTACAGATATGTACGTATTTACATATATACATACATACATATGGACATGCTAGTAATGACTTACTGTTAACTTATGCAAACTGGATGACAACTTAATTCATTTTCGGATTGACACAACCCACCAAATTTTTACATAACACTCACAAAATATTAAGATTTGCTCACTCATTCCGGCAAGATGGGAATAAGTGGAGTTTGATTTACTAAAATATTCGAATGAATACAACAATTTTAATGAATACATTCTTTCATTACTCAAGAAGTGGAGTCTTCCTTACAGAAGTGATCTTTTATTACGGCTGTATTGGTGTCAAACTTATGGACACACTAAATAATTTTGGAGACAAATCGTGGAGGTTTTCTATTTTTGGGTAATGATTAACGAGACGTTTTATTAGGTAAAAGTCTCATGTGCTCAAAAGATGTGAATTCGTTATTCGGAATAATTTAATGTTTTTATTATGTATTTATCAGTAAATATGTATGAGATTTTTGGGCATGAAAATATTAAGTTTTTTTTAAAAATAACGACCTGTTACCTGTGTTTAAGAGTTGACTATATTTTATGTTAAACCAATCCTCATAAATCACATAGTGGCGAAACTGATGAACTCGGTGGGGTAAAAAGTTCACAAGTTTCGGTGGGAATTTTGAATTTTTTGCAAAAACTGCAAATATCATCTGGCATTGTTTATGTTTTTAGTGGTTTCCAGTGGGAAGAATATGTGTGGTGGTGGCTTCCCACCACGCATACTCTATGACAAGTTGAGACGAATCATGAAAAAATGCAAAATCTTTGACCTGGTCATTCTAATTCCGAGATTAAATGTGCACTCAAAAATGTGGAATTTGTTGAATTTCAACTAGTGATAGTTGCGCAACAAGAAAATAAGGCCCTTTGAGGAATTGGTATGCTACTTTTATTTATATTAAATGCCGAAAATCAATTTCCATCAAAATTTTGTTTTTCTCGAGATTAATTGATTAATATAAATAAAAGTAGCATATCAATTCCTTAAAGGGCCTTATTTTCTTGTTGCGCAACTATCACTAGTTGTAATTCAACAAATTCCACATTTTTGAGTGCACATTTAATCTCGGTATAAGAATGACAAGGTAAAAAAGCTGTGCAAAAAATTATGCATGTTGTCAACATACGGAGAAATATTGAGCGAGAGACTGTATTGGCTGATAGAGCGGCCAGAGCAAACTGCCCCGTTAACACGAGTTTTTGACTTGTTTTCCGTGCCCTCTAAATAAACTCGACTAACATTTGCGATGAAAAAACGGGTTGAGTAAAATTTACTGAAGGTTGAGGCAAAATTCTATTTACAAGGTTGGATAAATTTTCATTTTCATTGTGTAAATCAACCAGTTGTGTCATCGCAAATTTTACTAAACCTTGATCAAATTTTAATCAAATTTGTTTAGAGTGTGACAAAACGTCTCGTTAATCTACTCAGAAACGCATCTATGCACTATTTTATGTAGTTCCGCCGGCGGTGCCGATTGGTATCCAAATTATTTAGTGTGTATTTACATAGAATCAATAAGCAATTAATCCTACACCAGTGTCGGCACAATCAAGTGACACGATGGACAGGCAAAAATAAAGGAAAGCGTGAATTATAAGACAAGTCTGGTGCGTCACCCATCCATCCATATCGCACTGCAAAAAGGCATTAAGTTTTACATAAATACAAAATTTTATCGGTTTGTCTCGCATTACTACTTTGCTCCGTAACGCGACTCCACTTACTTCATCGATAATCTTGATATTTTTAAGTACGTACAAGAATCGACAATTAATTTTTAATTAAAAATTTTCATGAAGTATCGCCAACATCGTGAAATTCAACATTCATTCATTCAATATTTATTATTTCTTAGCTCGGGGAATTTATTTTAAAAATCTGGTCTGCAAATTTGACGTGTTTTTACAAATATATGTACACTCCAGATTTCGACCGTTTTTGGAGGAGTGGATGTAAAGTTTAAGTTTAACACCTTCAGAAAATTTGGAACTCATAAAAACTCATCGAAATTCACCAGTCCAGCAGTAGATAAATTTGTGCCATCTTCCAGAATTTTAAAATTAATTCCCAGAGCCGAAAAATGATTAGAAAAGTGCTGATTTTTATGATACTTCATCGAGTCCTAAACTACTAAAAAAATATCATAAATTTAAATTTTTCAGATCCACCAAAATGGCCACTTTCACCACCTTCGCCGACCTGTCAACCGCTCCACCTGCCGAGCCAGAAACTACGACCGTGCTTCGACTCCGCCTCACGAATCGTGCCAGCGATCTTCACCGCAACCGAGAACAACTCAACGATCTAGGAATTCAGCAAACGTGGCGGCAAAGTTTTTTCAACTTGCTCCCAACTGCACCTTGGGCGGAGCAAATAGAGCTTGGAACGGAGCCTGAAGGGGTAACAACGGAGGCAGAGACTGAGGAAAACTTGGTACAAAAAACTAATAACTATTAAAAAATTAAAAAAAATTAAACCATTAAATCTCTTCGAAGGATTTTTCCGGATTTTGATCAATGCTGGGGTAGAATGTAAAATTGTAGAGAATCCTTTAATTTCAATATCTGGTTTTATCATTGGGAAATACGCTGGCATTTTTTCGGGTTTTCCGGTTATCAGCCCCTCTCCCGTCAGGTTAAGGGCGAAATAGAACCAAATTATTAATACTGTTACACTCTTAAAAATCAATTAAATTGTGTAACCCTATATATAAATTTATTTAGATGACGTTGAGACGGACATTGTGTGTTGACGTTATTTTAAGAACACTTTATTTTCCCAATATTTCGACAATAAACTTTTGTCTTCATCAGGGGAGGTGGTAAAAATGTAGTTTAAGATACACCGATATTATGAGAATGCACAAATCATGAAGATCACAATTATGACTAACAATGGAGACTGGTTGTTATGTTACAGTAAATGTAATAATGCGGATGTCCAAATCGGGTTGATTTTCATTCCATCTTTTTATAAATAAATTTATGTTTATCTTCCTCGAAACGTTCGTGTTTTTCTTGTGAATCTTCGAAATTTAGATTTTAATTATTGTCCCACTCTTAAAAATAATGTCATCCTTTTGCAAAGTGAATGCAATCTGAATTCTAAATTAAGTAAGCAATTCTACATAAATTCAGGATTAACTTGTTTAACATTAAAGCTTCCTCTGGATTTAATATAGTTTGTATAATTTTGAATTCAGAGTGCACTCTGAATGCACTCGAGTAATTCAAAAGGGTAACATTATTTTTAAGAGTGCATTCAAAAATATTTTCTTACCATTCCCATAGAGAAAACTGAGGGCACACTTTGCCAAAATGCGTGACGCCATTCAAGCCCATGAGGTTTCCGCGATCCGAGAAATGCGTCAATTACCGGGAGCCCAACAACGACAAGTCCTCACTTTCTGGGAACATGCATCCGTCTTCTTTATGGACGTGCTCAAGTGGTTGGAAGCTGCATTTTTGGAGGTTTTAGACAAAATCAAGCAGGGTTTCAAAATTGTGAAAAAGGTTCTAGCCGACATTTTTAAAACGGTGAGTGGCTTTCTGAAGCAGGTTTTTGCTTAAAATTTAAAAGCAATATAATTCACTGTTTAATAGTTTTGTGATATTTCACTGTAAACATCGATCATTGTTACAAATGAAATTTGATGTGTCTCAATTGTAGTAATATGTATGAATATATAAATTTAACATGGCTCAAATCAATAAATAAATAAAAAAAATAATTTAATTGTGTTTGGCTAATTACAGGTTAATAAATGAAAATAATCAAGTCGGTATTTGCGCTTATTATTGGAAATTTTGTGTACATTGGTCGAATTGGTTGTCCAATGAATTGGTCATTTTAATGTTGGTCGAATTAGCTTGCAAGTATAGAATAATAACGCAAAAAACAAATAATTTGGATTGCAAAATTTAGAAATTATCTACTCAAATCCGCAATCCACCAATTGTGGAAGATTGCAATTACGATTAATCGGATCGAACAAAAGAGGAGGTGGGCACTTGTAGATTTCCATGATCTCATCATAACACACGAGGAACAAGGAGCAGTCGTGGGGATGCGGGTAGTTTCCGTCCGGTTTGGAGACACAGGTCACCGTGTTTGGTGAACTGCACGCCTTCGTGACCGGATTGAAGAGCAAGGGTGGTGGACACTGAAAGATTTGAGCTACTTGTTCATACCAAATGATGAATTGTGAGCAGTCTGAAGGATGAGCCATCCGATCTTGAAACGTTTTCTGAGAAACCTCCAATCACATAGATAATATCTCCATCCGACAATTAACTGCAAAGTTCGGAAATTTTCGGGAAATTCGATGGTCCTCAAGCGTATCCAAGTCAAGTTTACAGACTGACTGTGAATCATCAGCTGGTGGAACTCTGGACTCAGCTGTCGTGCAATTGCAATTAACATTATCTCCAAAAAGGTAAGCACTCCCGCCAAATTCGATTGCTCGGCTAAATCTTCAAGGTAGTTGATATCCAAGCCCGGTAAAGTCACGTGTCCCCATGTTCAACGAATACAGCTGGGAATGTTCCCTACTCAGACAGTACGCTGTATCCGAGTCTGGACGAATTTTAAACGATTGCCTCGCGTCCCTCGAATACGTCGAGTTTAACAAAATCGACGTTTCATTAGCACGTGGATCAAACGAGATGATGTGCGAAAAATGTCCATGGAGACCTCTCGTGTTCGTTATAAGCAAATAGGACAACGTAGTTGACCGGCACATGACTACTTGTTTATCTAACCTACGTGTATCTACACACATACTTCATGAGCAGGACGAAGGTCGATGTACACAAACAGTGGCAAGTGGTGCTTGCAAATTTCCATGGTGTTTGCAGAGTGGGTCGTGATTTTCATACGTACCATCTTCATAAAAAATGTAAAACACAAAATATAAATGCAGCATAGGTACATAGATGCTCGCAGTTTGCAATTGATGATGTATGTGAACCTGTCCATCGTAATTGATAAGCTAATTATTTTAAGTGATTTATCTAAACAAGTGCTGATGATAGGCTAAACTACCAATATTAATGATAAGACAAACCGATCAATCATCATTATGATTGAACTTTTCCATGCGCACGTATCGTCTCGACTGGCCTCATTAATATGAAAAGTGTTTAAGGAAAAAAATAGGAAACTTTTGGCGAAGCCCGTTTAAAAAAATATGTATTGACCTGCCTCTCCGGAAATGTACATATTATTCAACATGACGGCAGTATTTAGAAAACAAAGCGGGAATTTCATATTTTGCATGGTTTTATTGATAAACAATATGAAGATTCGATTATTAAACTAAATTAAAAAACAAAATTAACAAAATTAATTAGTTGCCCTTTTATAATCATTATTACATTAATATTTATTTCGTGTATAAGTAGTTACACCAATATGGTTCCTTTTAACAAGTTATATCTAGTTTTAAATTTAAATTCGCGAAATAATCTGGCACATTTGAGCAATACCAATGAGTATTCGGGGTAGTCGGGGTTTTCTTGAAGATATGATAACATGGCATTACTAGCAATTCTACAAATGAATTACTTATGAATAAATAATTAATAAGCATGCTGTTTTGTTGTGAAATTACTGAAAAACAGTTTTTTCACAACTTAATACATGAGACGTTACTCAATTTACCCCAAAGACCCCAACTACCCGCAAAACCCAGGTAAAACCCATCGGTCTAGGTTTTCAATAGGAAAATCCCGGGGATTTCCTTACCCTGATTGTAGATCACGCATTTATATTTAACAGAGTACTTAATTGTGTAGTAGTTAAGCAAATAAATAACAATTTCCTGCCCAGTGTGTTCGAAATTCACAATTATTTTTCCAGAAGATGAATTCGACCGCAGTGTTTCGCCAAGTTGGAAAAATTGCAAAACTTTTTTCCACAGAAGTAGCACACACTCGACTTCTCTCCTTGATGCGTTCGCTTCACATGACCTTTGAGAAGTTGTTTGAACAAACTTCGGTATTCACATTTGTCACAGGAATAAACTAGCTCGGATTTACTGGAATGTTTCGCTGTCATATGATATCTCAAACCTCCGCTGATTCTAGTCTTTTGTCACATATTTTGCATACGTAGTCTTCCTCGCGGTGGTAATTTCTCATGTGGTTCCACCTCCCGGGATCAGATAAGAATGAGTCTGGACACAGTGTACATGCGAATACAGGTCGGACACATTGGTCTTGGTGCACCGCCTGGAAATACATAGATGAAGAAAAAATGATATAAGTAGACCAATATGTATGTATTGACACACTTGTGAATTTGAGGTACGGCGAACTTTTGGGTACGGAAAAAATCCGAACCGTACCGTCCCCGAACCGTACCGCATACCTGGGATTTCTTACAAGAATTTCGAAGTGTTCTCCCAGCAAATTTTTGAAGTGTTCTCAGGAAACATATGTAGAAACCCTATTTTTTTTACAGATTTTTGTTGCACCACGGTGTTATGACGAAATAATGAACAACTTTCTCTTTATTATTATCACATGTCAAAAAAATGTGATTGTAATTAGTAATTTATTGTTTCACGTATTCGTGCATTAATAGGCCTCAGTATTCTTTTTATTGTCGAAAGCTATGGAAATGAACTCAATTTTAAACGTTACAGCATCCTTCTATAAATTTCAAGCAGTACTTACAACAGATCGGATATAACGATATGTATAGGATACATGCCTTATATGGAGATCTAGAACCTGTATATTTTTTATTTGCTTTCAAGTATGACAAATAGCTATTCATATATTTATAGAAATTGTCATTTGCGCAAAAAATATACATTTTGAAATTGCAAGTTTTTCCATTCCATTTGAATCTTGCATCTCCAATTTAATACTTCTTTGACTGAAATTACACAACTTTGACTGAAATTTTTAATCCTTACACATTTCTATCTTGACTCTTAGTAATACTACACTTAGAAATGGGAGGTTGGGCGCTCGAAGACGGGAGTGAGAACGAGGTAATTAAAAATAAATTCGCATAACAAAATTCGAAAATTTACAGAATTTTAAAAACCGTGGTTTTGGCTGAAAAATGTTTTAAAATTCGCGCCTCGCGCACAAATTAGCGCATTATGAAAAATGCAAAAAATACGGGTATGCTTATTTCTTGTGGTGAACAGAATAAAATTGGTCCCAACCAGATCTGAGTTGTACACGTAAAACACTTGCATTGTCAGTTTCATGTGATCTTTCCATTTAGAGACCCTTATATAATTTTCGCGATGAGCCACAAATTTCTTGCATAGAATACGTAAATAACTGATTCTTCCAGCTACATATGTATGGATAATGGTTGGATTTTAGAAGGTTTTCCTACCCAGGCCGAAATTTACGACGTTGTCATTCAAGATTCTGTCTGGTTTGCTTCAAATCATGCCATGCACAGGGTTCGGAAAAACCCGGGGTTTTACTCTGAAAATAACTACCCCGTGGTTTTACTGGGTTTTGCTCAATTTTGGGGTGAAGTAATAAAGCTTACAATGTTACGTCAATTTGTTCGATTAATGAATTTTATCAATATTTATTAAAAAACTTCAATTAAAAATGCCAGGAACACGAGAAAAATACGAATTTGATGAAACTCCAAGTTAATCTATAAATTATGATTTTTAGATCATAAACAAAAATTCGAAATAAATAGAGAAATTTACTGAATATTGATCAGAGTACTTAATCCGAGTTAGATATGCACCTGCAAACTGATTCTATTGATTTATCTATTTGAATTTAAAATAACACTTAGTAAAACCCTAATAAAACCCCTTTATCATAGTAAAACCCACTGGGTTTTACTGATTTGGGACCCGGTAAAACCCAGTAAAACCCCAAAACCCCAAACCAGTAAAACCCGGGGTCGGAATACCCTGGCCATGCAAAATGCAGGAAAACTTTTCTCCGCTTTTCAATGCAGTGGAAAATATTGAGAAAGCGTTCTCGATCTAATTCTACAAACTGTGCAAAAAAGCAGAAAAGTGTTCCCCGTTTTATTTTATAAAATTCAAAGTATTGAACAACGACACTTTCAAATAAGTTTGCCGTGTTCTCTAAATTATTTTATCCAAATCCAAGATGATGCGTAATTTTTTGGTTAATTTTTTGTTTGATAATTTAATATGTTCTGGGTAATCTGTTCTCCTCCGCCAAAAAGTGTTCTCCCAGCATTGCTGGTTGGTTGGGTAAGAAATTCCAGGCATGCCGTACCGTCCCCGAACCGAACATGTCGGGTTCGGTGAGACAACCAAAATGCACTAGCGTGAATATGCAAGCATGTAATTAGTTATGCAAAATCGCGCAAACATGATTCTGCATAACCTATGCTTGCACATAGGTCTTTTTGTTGCTTATAAATATTTGTCCCCTTATATCTTTTTGGAATTAATACGTAGGTGTTTTATTATTAATTTTCAAAAGGTATGTTCCGCACTGTTTCTGACCAAAATTGTGATGAAATAACAAACTTCAAATACATTTAGGAGGCTGTGATTTTTTTCAGTTCTTAAGGTTAACGTCAACACTAGCAATAAATCGGCAAACTTTACCTCGACGGAAAAAATGCTAGATTTGCAAATTAAATATCGTAGTGTGATTTAATTTTTAATGCTGGATCGGCAATACGTGTCGCAGATTTATAGTTGAATGCTTAAAATGTACAATGAAAACTCCCCAACACGAAACACAAATTCAATTGGGTCAATAA